ACACCACCCCGCCTCCACACACGCACCACAAACATGAGGCCCATTCTTCTCTCCGGTCACGAGCGTGCGCTCACGCAAGTCAAGGTTCGCATGCGCCGTGCGTAGGATGGGGGACGAGGAAACTAATGGCATACAGTACAACGCAGATGGAGATATCATTTTCTCCGTATCCAAGGTACGTTTTTCTCCCGGTCTTCTGAGGCGCGGAAACTGATTTTTGTAGGACCACGTCGTTTGCGCCTGGTGTTAGTAAACAACATGTACAAGAGGAATGCGAATAGAAGCTGATGCGGTGCAGACTCACACAACGGCGAGCGAATCGGAACATACCACGGACATCAGGGAGCGCTATGGACGGTCGACGTAAACCCATCCTCTGAGCTACTGGCTACCGGTGGAGCAGACAACACCATGAGGTTATGGCATGTGCAGACAGGCAAGCTTCTCCACACCTGGGAATTCAACACCAGTATCAAGCGCTGCGAGTTCTCCCCAGACGGCAGACAGCTACTTGGTGTCACCGAGAAGCGATCAGGACATCTCTCCACCATCTGCGTCTACCCCATCAACCCCGACCCGGAGGCGCAACAGTCGGACGAGCAGCTGCTCAGGATCGTATGCGACGAGTCCAAGGCGACAGTCGCTGGCTTCTCATACCTCGCAAAATACATCATCAGCGGACACGAAGACGGCTCGATAACTCAGTGGGATGGCAAGACTGGAGAACTGCTCAGCTCCAACTACGACGTTCATGAGCCAGACATGCAAATCAGTGAGTGTCATGCACACCTCTTTGGCTGGAATGGAAGCTAACAATGCGCAGCCGACATCCAATGGGCTCCCGACCGAACCTACTTCATAACCGCCAGCAAGGACAAGACCGCGAAGCTCGTCGACGTCGAAGAGCTCAACGTCCTCAAATCATACGTTGCCGACACACCCCTCAACTCCGCCGCGATCACACCCGTAAAGGACTACGTTATTCTTGGTGGAGGACAAGCAGCCATGGACGTCACCACAACCTCGGCACGTCAAGGAAAATTCGAGGCCCGTTTCTACCACAAGATTTTCATGGAGGAGATTGGCCGTGTGCGTGGTCACTTCGGTCCCCTCAACTACGTCGCCGTACACCCACAAGGAACCAGCTACTGCAGTGGAGGAGAAGACGGTTACGTGCGTGTGCACCACTTCGACAAGCCATACTTTGACTTCATGTACGAGGTTGAGCGGGAGGTCGCGCAGTCGCAGTCGAACTTGTAATAGTACGACCTCACGAAGAATGGTTGATATGGTTCAATATGGCTGCATGCATGCAATGGCGTTCCGGCGGTCGGGTTGGGTGCTTGTCAAGATTAGACGAGCCTTTGTCAAAAGTTCATGAGCGATCAGGGCACATATAGACACTTTATCTAAGCGTCCTAGCACATGTACCTCATCAATGAAAACTTCAAGCAATATGCTGATGCACATTTCCATTGTGTTTATATATGTCCCGCCCCAAGCACCAGCGCCTGCCCATAAGGAGCAGACACCCAAGCATTCGGTCAAAAGTACAAGCAAAGGGCTTGGAACGGGTTGGTAGCTGATCTTCCTGCTTTTGACAAACGAGTCCATCATCGAGAAGGAAGGACGACGTATACTGAAGAGGTTGTAGGTACACAGAGTACCAAAGGATAAAGACGCGTCGATGCTGCTCACTCCGTCGAGCGCAATGTGAGACGCGAAAGAAAAATATTTGTCAACGACCTATGATCCAAACACAGCGGCTGGCTTGGAGGACTGGTAGCTGGCAACGATGAGCTGTGACACACAATGAGTGCGCTCGTATTAGCCATAGTAAACGAACGTTGAATGTAGTGATTATTCGGTGAAAGAAGGGCGGAAGAACATTGAAGGGCTGAAGCGATCATGGAAGCTTCGAGAGACCCTGTCCTAAGCGAGTTTAGCGCGTGGCGGTGACCTCACCTGCCGCTCCGACTCATCGCGCTCACACATTGCTCTTTGGGCCTCTACATAAGCAAAAGCTCGATCCTCTCTACTACAAAGCCCTTCACATCCACATTACATTTCCTCATCTCCACGTTCGCCGACTGACAAATCCATCGACGCGCAAGTATCCATTTCAAGAGGACACCCCACATCTGCGCCCAACTCAGCCTTCCGCACCCGACAACCACAACCCCACCCTCTACTCTTCAACACCACATTCAAGATGTCTGACGACTGGAACTCCGTTACCAAGATCGGTAGCCGCACTCGTGGCGGCGCCGCCGGACCCCGCGAAACCGTAGTCAAGGGCAAGTCAGCTCTAAACGCTGCCCAACGTAGCGGCGGTATCGTCGCCACAGAGAAGAAGTTCGCTTCTGCCAACGCCGTGAGTACTCCTTACACGTCCAACTTAGCTTAACAACTTCGTTCTTCGTGATCCCCAAAAGTTCGCTCAAAACAATACTGACCGACCAGCCACAGGGAGCTTCGTCAGAAGGCCAACGCCTCACCAAAGTCGACCGTTCCGATGACATCGTCAAGCCCAAGACCGTTGGTATCGCCGTCGGCCAAGCCATCGCTAAGGCGCGCTCCGAGGCAAAGAACGACAAGGGCACAACTATGACGCAAAAGGATCTGGCTACAAAGTGCAACAGCACACCCACCATCATCGCAGACTTTGAGCGCGGCACAGCAACACCAGACCAGAAGCTGCTAGGAAACATGGAACGCGTGCTTAACGTCATCCTACGGGGTGACAAGATGGGGCAGCCCAAGTTCCCGAAGAAGAAATGAGCGGGTCATTGCTAAGGTCGCAGACCGGGCGCAAGGACACGCTCAGGTTGCGATTTTGCGATGCATTCCGCTTCCAAAAGTCGGCTTCGGCTGCGATAAGTCTCTTCTGAATTAGCGGGCTTGGGATGGGCGTTTGATGGACATCACGGTAGAATACCACAATGGTGGACAGCGTACGATAGCTACGGCCTAGCCTGTATTGCGCGGGCTTTGTAGCTCAGTCTCATTGAGCAGCTGTAGACACTAGATAAAACTACGATCTACGCGCAAGCAATACGTTGTCTCTGAACATGCAATTGACGTCATCGAAGCTACATGATGTGCAGTATTGCACTAAACCTCTCAGTTGTATCCTTGTAGGCGGCGAGCGAATCTCCACCCCTTAGACCCCGATGCTAGACAGATTTGAGTGCACCGACATGTGTATCGTGATGCGGCCCAAGTACATGATTGGCTCGTGCTAGCTAGCGACTCACCGTTACGATCAAGACCGTCGCCAACCTTCACAACACAGCAACAACATGATAGTCTGAGACCCTCCCATACTATGCTCATACCCTCATACTCGCACAAAACAAGAATCTGTGGTGTCGGCATCCCCATGTAAACGACCTGCCTATTTCAGCCCTACTGCGCCTTCCAAATTCACCTGCGCACTTTCCTACGAGAGTGCCTGCGCTAACCTCTCCCAGACCCATCGTCTTTCTCTCTATCCTCCTCATCTTCTTGTTTTACTTCAGTATGAGTACTACAGATCACACTTCCACGGTTCCTGTTCCGGCAGAGCCGGCGTTGGACTACCATTTCAAGTACACGGTGCAGAAGGGCGTTTTCATGCAGAGCGAAGATGAGACTGATGATAAGAGTTTCGATTTCGTATGTTCAATTCCTTGTTCTCCAAGCTTCACACGCAACTACGTACTTGCGGGATTGAGTCATTCCGTCTCTTCATTCACGTCCCCTCAATTTGGGATCCGAAGAAGCTGGCTAACATTCCTACTAGAAGACGCAAAAGTTTGGTCTGATCGACCGTTCCTACCCGGGAGAAGATGACAGCGAAGAGAAGCAATGGAAGCGTCTTGAGGAATATGTGGCTAGTCTGGAATCCACGAAGAAAGAGGGTGAGAGTTACAAAGTACTCTTTCTGGGCCGTCATGGTCAGGGTTGGCATAACGTTGCAGAGACAAAGTATGGGACAAAGGCGTGGGACGTAAGTTTAATCCGCCTCGCAACACTTTCTCTTTTCGTGAATCATTCCTCTACGGACATATGCTATCAAGGAGACATAATGCTAACATAAACACCAAGTGCTACTACGCCGCCCTCGACGGCTACGACGGCATAACCTGGGCGGACGCAAACCTCACCACTGTAGGCCAAGACCAAGCTCTCGCCGTGAACAAGCTATGGGCCGAACAACTACCCCTCGGCATTCCACCCCCACAAACTTACTACGTCTCGCCCTTAACCCGTACGATCGAAACAGCAAACCTAAGTTTCAAGTCCCTTCCACTTCCGTCATCCCACCCCTACAAACCTTTCATCAAAGAGCTCGTCCGCGAAGCCCTCGGCGTACACACGTGCGACCGCCGCAGCACAGCCGCGCACATCAAGGCCACTTTCACGGATCCACCTCTCACCTTTGAATCCGGATTCTCAAACGAAGATCTTCTCTGGGAGGCTGGATACCGGGAACCGAGGTCCGCAAGACGGTACCGTCTAGCCACGTTTCTGGACGATGTTTTCGCTTCCGATGAGAATGTGTGGTTGAGTTTTACTAGTCACTCGGGGGCGATTGGCAGTATGCTGGAGGTGCTTGGGCACAGGACGTTTGCGCTTGAGACGGGTGGTGTTATACCTGTCTTCGTCAAGGCGGATAGGGTGCAGGGGAAGAGGGAGGTGCCACCTAAGGAACCTAGTGCTTCGCCGCCATTGTGTGATGGACCTCCTCAGTAGGATCAGAAAGGGGCTCTGAAGCAGATTGAGGAATGAGAGGATCGGCACTCCTATACTCTGATTGGTGACGTCTAGGGTAGTCTGATCTGATAACCTCATCGCAACCGAATCGATTGTTCACGGTTTGCTATTTCACGCGTGTAATCCACGACGCACTGCTTGTCATGATAGCACAAATATTAGCGAAAGCACATAAAGAACACAGTCTGCTCTCATATCCCCGTCTCATCAACTACCATCTACCGATTCCTCAGCAGCAGAAAATGTCCACCACTCCGCCTATCAAACGAGACCTCTCTTGGACTTTCGATCAACTCAAGACAAAGTACGACATCCTCTGGAACACGTATTCTGATCATCACGTGCCGCTTGATGATAGGAGTGAAGAGGATCAGAAGAGGATTGCCGAGCTTGAGACTTTGGTAGAGGATTTCAAGAAGAAGGACGAGGCCAAGCTTGAGGAGCAGAAGAAGAGCGAGGCGCGGAACAAGGCATCGATTGAGTCGCAGAAACCATACGAAGGAGACCCACACAATCTCTAGACGGAAAGGCTGAACGAAATGCTCGGGGAACTCGAATCATTTCCTGTTAAGTACTGTAATCCTCATGCAGACGTGAAATGAAATGAACCCTTACCGGTGAAGCCAAGCGAGACAATGGACAGTTGATGATGTGTTTCATTTGATCATAGGTATAGCTTAAGCCATCGTGCCGAGATCTACTCCTGGTACCTTACCGAAAAGTCCCATCAGTTTCACCTCCTGCAAACAATACACGTGCTGTGCTGATATGTCCACCCCATCCCTATACAGACTGGCGGACAAACCTCTTGAACGCAACCCAGGTTCATTTTCCACTGCGCCTCTAATACGAACAACGAAGCAGACCCAACATCTCATGCAGATGCATCTCGTGAACTCGTAACAAAGCAAGCGGGAGTCGTTTTACATCATGCCGAGGTCCTCCATGGCTTTGGCATAGCTGTCCCAATCGGTCAAAGCACCGAGAGCACGACGCTGGTGTGCGCTGAGGAGCGTGAGACCGTAGATGTAACTTGCGTTGACCCATCCGAAGCTGTGACGTGTTAGCCATGAACTAGTAAACGGATGTGAGAAGAAACATACCCTTCGCGAGGAACACCCTTGAAGTCGCTGCCTTGGTTACCGTACTCGGCCTCAACCTTGTGAGGATCAATCTTCCTTGTGACATCGTACTTCTCAACGACAACGCCGTTGAAGTCAACAAATGCCTTGGTGACCATGAAGAGCCAGCGGTAGGCCAGACGCTGGGCTTCCGCATCGTAGCCGTATCGCTGCATACCGACCCAGGCAAGCATCTGCTGCGGCGCCCAACCGAATGGATAATCCCACTGACGATTAGGGCGGTCAAGTCCAGTTTTGCCGCGCGACTTCTCTGTACCCGAAACAAGTCCTCCGAAGGCTTCCAGCTTAGGCAAAGCCTTCTCGACAAGAATGCTAGCTTGACGCGGAGTGGCGAGACCGGACCACATGGGCCAGAAAGTAGTGGCACTCTCGTAACCGGTGCGTTCTTGCTTGACAGTGTTATAGTCGAAGTACATGCCTGCCTCCTCGTCCCAGAGATACTTGTCCACATTAACGCGGCGTTTTCTAGCGCGGCGCTCCCATGTGGAAGAAGTCTCAATATGACCAGGCTTCATGTCGCCAGTGCGGAATCCCTCTGGAATTTCGAGCTTGTCGTTGAAATGGTTGCGAATGCATCGACCAATGTCGACTTCGTACTTGTAGAGCAGCGCATTGACGTCAACAACGGCGAGGTCTGCTGCGACCCTCTCCAGACGGTAGGAGGTGTCGTGTCCGGATTCACGCACAGCGCGGTCATGTAGGAAATAATCATCAAGCTCGGGCTCGTTGACCTTTCCGTTGTTGTATGCATCGACGAATTCCTTAAATGTCATACCATGCTTGTCGGCATACGGCATCAAGACGTGGTGGAAATGGCTGGCTTCCGTCTCGGGTGGCACACCTCTTCCGCCAGGTCGGTACCTGGTGAGTCCAGTGACAGGGTCTAAGCGTGGCGCGCTCATCCAAACCGAGTGGTATTCCTTGATGGCAGCAAGGATACCGTTGCGCAGGAATTCTTTGGAGTCAGGCTCGTGCTTGATGCGTTCATAGCATCGCAGAGTCATGTCGGTGAGGAACGGTGGCTGGGAGCGGCAGAGGTAGTATGTACGGTTCGCGTTGAGAATCTTGTTGTAGTGCTTGATGCAGAAGCAGAAGTGAATGACCATGGACTTGACCAGGTCGACGCGATCGTTGACGAGGAGACCAAGCGACTCCATGTAGCTGTCCCATCCGTAAAGCTCGTTGAAACGGCCACCAGGAACGACGAAAGGCAGGCCTCTCAGGTCCTTCTTCTTCGTCTCTGGATCTATCCATTCCTCCATGGCAATGGCGAGCAGGCCGGGTGCCTTGTTCAAGTCGCGCACGTAATCGTCGTTGTCGCAGTCCTTGTCCAGCCAGATGACATCGAGACGCATTTCGGGGTGTTCGCGAGCAATGCGGGTGTAGTACTCGTGCTGCTCAGGCGCGCCCTGAGGAATGTATATACGCGGACGTGGGTCGTCTGTCCAGTCCTTGGGGTCGACACCGACCTTCGCAATGTTGGAGCCATCGATGCGGCGGGTGAGGCCGTCCCAGAAGGAGAACTGGATGAGGCGGCTCAGGCGGTTTACGGGGTTCTCGTTCAATCGCGATTCGTCGAGCACAATGGTCTTGCGGCCGTAGTCTTTGGCGAGGGTGAGCTCCTGGAGCAGGTTCGAGAGCATGTAGGTGCCGCGGACGTCGTGCTTCTTGAAGGCATTGGAGCCGAGCGTACCAAGAGAAATGGTCTGTGTATTGTCAGCCATGCTCTCCGTGTTACTGCAGAGCATCGTACCTTGGGACCCTTGTCGTCGATCGTGATCTGGTAGTTGCCGTCGGAATCTTCGCGGTCGAGAAGCTGGCGGAGCGTCTCCTCGACGTTTATCTTGAAGCGGCGAGGCTGCAGGGAGATTTCATCTGGTCTTATTAGCCAATGGCGCGGCGTGGGTGCGGTGGAAGGTACGTACCGTGACTGATACGGCGACCAGCAATGGCGCCCTCGGCCAATGGAGCATTACGCGTGGAATTGTCTACGTTCTGCACTCAATTAGCCTCGTCATAGCAGTCGAAGAAGGCAGGAGCGCGGTACTCACGGCTGAGTAGGTCCTGGCTCTGGCATGCTTCTTCGAGTGACTCTCGCCATAGTAGACGTGCGGTGCAGCGTATGGGTCGAGAACAGTCGAGGTTCGGCGGGGCTTGGAAGATTGCGAGCTCATGCTACGGGGGCGGTGGGGAGACGACACCAGTCAGGGGGTGTGGTGGTAATGGGTGTTGTGGTGATGAAGATGTGCTATGTATGGCGTAGGTACTGGCCAGCGTTAGCTACGAGGGTGGTTGACGGCGAGGGTGGGGGTGGGGCGGCACCTTTGTATCAAGATGCTTCAGAATCTAGGGAGCGGCGGGCGGCGGTCACACGACGATATGCTGGTAGTGCTAGTCTAGGTGGCGGGTGCAGCGTAGGACTGGAGAGAAAAGATGGATATGCAACGGGCGAAGGTAGCAGTTTTGAGCGCTGCAAGGCCGGCAGGTCCGCCGATGGCAGCAGAAGGGCATAGCAGCAGGCGTCAGTGGTGGGTCTGCTATCACGATAGGCAATGACAGACCAGGCGGTGAAGCAGCTGCATCGTGCCAGATGCAGGCGGCGTGACTGCTATCAATGCCACAGCCAGGCGGCATGATGATGCTGAGCGAAGACTGCCAAAAGGCCCCGTGCTGCCTCGAACCCCTGGGGTACTTCGTCCTCCTCATCACCGTCGCGACTTGCACGCGCGCGCCGACCTTGGCCGCCTCATCATCGTGCCCCACCAGTACGTCATGGCACGATGTCCTCGCTCGACAATCAGCGTGTTTCGAATCTCATCTGTTGAGCTTCAATGCCTTGTGTGCGCCGCCTTTGTTTTTCTCCTGCCTAACTCCGGACGCACCTTCCTCGAGCGACGCGCCTGCTGTGACTGGCTCGGTTGCCGGGGTCAGGCGCTGCGTGTCCGTCAGCCTGCAGGCCTTCCCCCACGGGAGCCAGCAGTCCGCACTACAGTACACCCGCAACTCCATCGTGACCTCCGAACAGAACTTACTCTCCCTCTTACTCATAGCTCGGGAGCCAGCTGAGGCTGTCGCCTAATATTACCCCATCAGGTCAGCAGATCTAGATGTCCGTCGACCTGCGCTGCATCTGCTGATGGCCGTCTCCGAATCTCATCGAACATGCGACTTTTTCCGTCTGATGTTCACTTCCGGCTCTCCAAGCTCGGCCGTCTGCACGCCGGCCGGTCTTCGGATGCCTACCAGAAGCACTGCACAAGCACACAAGTTGCAAGGTAGGAGAGTGTGGGGGTTGTCAAACGACTCGTCGAGTCTGTCTTTTGTTGATATATACATTATACACTGCAAAGTCGTGCTTTTTCGTAGAATTTTGAGTAGTTCGGCCATTGGCATCGTGACAAAAGAGATGGTTGCGCAGTCTTGAATGGTATCCGTAAACCCCAACGCCTTCGCTAACACGCAAGCAGACAAACAAAATGCAAGACCAGCTGGCCGACGTTAATAGATGACTTTTTTTAAACTTCGAGCTTCTTTGCTGCCTGCTTTCGGCTTCTCCTCATGCCTCTCCAGCTCCACTTCGATCCCTTCTCCATTTCTTGCACGGGTACGCCCAGAGTTGATGAGTCTGGTCGTGGCGTGTCGATGTTGCTACTCCAGCTAGTTGAGGCTGTCTCGAGTGATGTGGCGTTTGAGGCGGTTCTTGACATGTCGACGCTGTACGCGCTCTCGTATGACCTGAGCTTGGATTTTGGTCGTGATGGGAGGGGCTCTTGAAGAGCGAGGAAGCCGGAAGCGAAGCATCCACCGTACGCCTTCAAAACCTCCAGTGACGCGGCTCTCCTCAAGGCGATGGTCTCTCTTTGGCTTTCGACATTGCCGTCGTCTGACTCGGCAAAGTCACCGTCGTATCGGTAGTAGAGTTGGTCATCCATTTGACAAGCGCTGTCAACCTTTAACATTGTTAGCAGTGAACTAATGAACTGTTCTCAAGTCAAGACATACCTTCTTGTGTGTAGCGGTGTGTAATTGCAGGTTCTCCTCAGTGAGTTGGAGTTGGTTGAAGCAAGTGTCCCAGTTGGGTGTGCGTCCAAGGTTTTGATACATGTTGGCTGGTGGTAGGTAGAATGTTCCGATGGGTGGTGTTTTTGATTGTATTGGGGGTCGAGGGTCTTGATGTAAGGCTGGTAGTTGCTGCTCTGTTGGACTTTGAGTTTGACTGAACCAAAAGGCTAGGGCGCTCAAGTGTTATATACCGAGCGTCACTTGGTATCCTAGCCAGCAATCAGGACGGCATCCACCCCAGCATGCGCCATAGCGCCGCGCTCGCCGATTGACCCCAGGGATCGCGCCCAAAAACGTGGTACATGGCTGCGGCTCTA